GGACGGTAGGATGGGTGAGGGGGGGGGGGGGGGCCGGAGGCGGGGGGGAGGGGGGGGGGGTGGGGGGGGGGGGGGGGGGGGGGGGGGGGGAGGGGGGGGCTTGAACACTCATTGGGCTCATCTGATTCTGAAATTTTTGTTTTGTTTTAATAGAGCATTCAAATATAGGCTATAATATGCAGTTTTCCATGCTGAGTAAGAAAAAAATAGTTTCAAGTTTTAAAAATGCATTAGAATCGAGTTATTCTATTGAGAACACTGTGTACACAGAAAATAGTGATTTTTGGAGAGATCAAAATTCTTGAAGTTTTTCGTGTATTTTTAGGTCAAAACTTGCGCTAGGGATGTTAACAACTAGATATTCGTGATCAGCTTGAAAAGCTCTATCGAATGGTATATAAATAAGCCAAGAATAAAATGGTGTGGAAACTTTGAATTTGGACCGCCCTACTTTACTAGACGTCGAGGGGTGTAAATGTCGGTGTAGGTGTGAGTGTGAGTGTGAGTGTGAGTGTGAATGTGGGTGTGGATAGGTATGGATGTTGGTATGGGTGTGTGGGTATGAGTGTGGGTGGCGTCAAGTCTTCCATCCACATTTACACCCATATACCACACACGCACCCACACGTACACTCTACACCCACATACACACAGCCACATCCACACCCGCACTCACACCTATACACTCCACCCATACCTACATTCACACCCACACCCATGGAGAAACTTTTTTCGCTGGTGTTTTGGTCTTTTGAAGTAATATCTTATACGATGCAGAATTTCAAGGGCTTTCAGAAAATATATAAATCATTTTTGGATAGAATGATCCAGCATAGTTAGAGTCAAAATACTAGAAAATCTTGATTTTAGCTAATAGTCCGTTTTGCTTGTATATTGGAATTATCACTTGATAAATGGTTTTGTAGAACATAATGAGTTACCAAATTTTGTAGAAAAAAATATTTCTGCATCTTTTGAGACATTCCTAAGCTCGAACGAGTGAGTGGATATAGTGAAAGTGCAAAATACTGAGATCACCCTAAAAAACTGACTTTTTCACCAGGTCCTAAAGGTGATATCACTCGTTTACTTTGGCATTTTTCACAGGCAACTCAGTAAAAGCTAATATTTTGGATTTGTCTACAGTTTGACTAGACTTTTCATTTGAGATACCTAAATCGAAAATCAAAATTTTGTCGGCGGTCAGCTCCTGATAAAGTTGCTAAACGGTTTCGCGGATCATCTCTTAGCATGTGGTAAAATGCCGATCTCATTTATTTTTGAAAGAAATATTATATATTGATTATTTAGCTTATTAATATATACGTAAAAAATGGCTTGTCGACCTCGTCTTCTCATTCCTCAACAAATGCCATTCGTTTTTCTACGCCTTCTCGAACGAACATTTGTATTAGATTATCACAATAATGAATATATTATGACACAAGATGCTGTACTCTCAAGAATTCGACAAAATCCACCGTCGGCTATACTCTTCATGAACAAAATAAAAATTGACAAAGAGCTTTTGGATGCCTGTGGTGATCGTCTGAAAGCACTTTCAACTATATCTGTCGGTTGGGATCACATTGATGTTGATGAATGTGCCAAGAGAGGTATTCCGATTGGTTATACACCTGGTAAATTTGTCGATGTCCCTGATAGAAGTTTCAGATATCTACAGTAGCCTCTTTTCAAAATGCACCCATTTGATATACACATAGAAATCGGTTCTTGAAATGTTAATGTATGGTCATCATTTTGTTTACACCAGACATCAAGGGAGAAACAGCGTACTTGAAGTAGAAAAGTATGCTAAAATACGTCAAATTAGGCTACTTGAAGTAGTTTAAAGTACCACCCAAGTAGCTCAAAGTAGGAACAAGTAGCTTAAAGTAACTTAAAGTAACTTCAAGTAAATTTGAAGTTAAAAAGTACTTCCAAGTAAGCTACTTGAAGTAGCTGAAAGTAGCTGAAAGTAACTTCAACTTCAAAAGTCCGCTGTTTCCCCCTTGCCAGACATACATCAAACCCAAACTGTTTGGATTTAGTGAGTTTGGTGTAATGAGTTTGAGTTTAATTTTGGTTTTAATATTGAATTTGGGTCTGGATTTAGATTTGAGTTTGATGCATGCCTAGTTTGCACTGCTCGAGACTCTGCTGATATTCTGTTTAATTTTTTCTTGGTTTATTTGTCTTACTTTCTGATGACTATTGAGGTTATATTCACATCTTAAATTGAGCAAAGAAACATAAAACAGATCAATCAATGACTAGTGTTTCGCAGATGGAACACACCCAAGTGGGAAACACCGTACTTTTGTACTTTAAAGTACAGGGTGGCGCAAAAGTCGCTTTACCGAAAAAAAATTGAATATCTCCATTAGAACTTCTATCAAACGAGCTGATTTTTTTATCAATGATAGAGGCGTGTTCAAAGTTTATATCCATAAAGAAATGCTTAGAGAGACCCTTTATTAAGTACTACTATTGACCTCAACAAAAAAATTTTTCTTTTTCCTCAATAGGAAAAAAACGAATATATAGAGTGGTGCAAAAGTCAGTTTGCTGAACAAAAAATTGAATATATCCATTATGGCTGCAGCAAATGAGCTGATTTTTTTATCAATGATAGAGACATATCCAAGCTTTATATTCATAAAGACATGCCTAGAGAAAACCTTTGTTAAATATATTATTTATTTTCATATTGGGGAAAAAGTAAATTTTTTTTTTTTAAGGTCAATAGTAGTACTTAATAAAGGGTCTGTCTAAGCATTTCTTTATGGATATAAACTTTGAACACGCCTCTATCATTGATAAAAAAATCAGCTCGTTTGACAGAAGTTCTAATGGAGATATTTGATTTTTTTTCGGTAAAGCGACTTTTGCGCCACCCTGTATTTTAAAGTACATTAATGTAGTTTAAAGTACATTAAAGTACCTTAAAAGTACATTCAAATATCTTAAAGTTGGGATGTCATTTTCCTGCTGATTTAATATAACTTTAAATTATGAGTAATTAATATTAAATTTAATTCATTTGCTTTTTATAATCTATTAGATACAAATTAAATTATACTATTTTTTTTACAAGATACCTAGAGACCATGACACTTTTGAATTACAAAGTAATTCAAAATAATTCAAAAAAATGAATTACAAAATAATTCAAAATTTCTATATTTTGTAAATACACTGAATGGCGTAAATGAATTAAATAGTAATTCAAAATAAATGAATTACACAGTAATTCAAAAAACAAGAACTACACAGTAATTCATAAAACATGAATTACATAGTAATTCATAAAATATCAGGGTCTACCAGGGTCTACCAGGATCTACCAGAATTTCGTGGCACCCACATCGAGAGAGATATGATGTAGGTCGTTTCACGGCACCCACATTGAGACCCTGGTTGACCCTGATAGACCCTGATAGATCCTGGTAGATCCTGGTAGACCCTGGTAGACCCTGGTAGACCCTGATAGACCCTGATAGACCCTGGTAGACCCTGATACTTTATGAATTACTCTCTAATTCATGTTTTATGAATTCCTATATAATTCATGTGTTTTTCAATTACTATGTATTTCAAGAAACATGATTTGCTATGTAATTCATTTATTTTGAATTACTATGTAATTCATGTTTTTGAATAACTGTGTAATTCAATTATTTTGAATTAGTATGTAATTCATGTTTTTTGAATTACTGTGTAATTCATTTATTTTGAATTACTTTGTAATTCATTTACGTCATTCAGTGTAATCTTCATAACTCTTCAAGGCCTATACTATAAGGGAACCATAGGTCCTCAAGGCCTACACTATAGAGGCACTCTTAGATCCTCAAGCCCTATGCTATAAGGGAACCCTTAGGTCCTCAAATGCTATACTACAGGGGTACCCTTAGGTCCTCAACAACCATACCATAAGGGAACCCTTAGTAGGAATGCAACGGTGACGATCATTCGCCGGTCCAAACCGATAACCGTAGGTACGGTTACCGCTCTAACTGCGATAATCGTAGGTACGGTTACCGGTCTAACTAAGATAACAGTAAGTACGGTTATCAGTCCAAGCCCGTTTTCACGAAGGAAAGAGCTTTTTAAGAAAATAACGATTTTTCTATAAAGGTTGACGAAAGTAAATCGAGGTCGAAGAATCCGAATCTGAAGTTAGTTTTTCGATGTGAGTTTTCATTGGTCAGAAAATGGACCAATCAGAAATTAGATGTTTTATTTTGAGGCTTTTCAATCTTTTAATAAAATTTTGCTATAGTCCCCCATGTCTACGCGAACGCTATGGTACGCGTGACGTCACGAACGCTTGGTACGCGTGACGAGCATAGAGGTGACGTCACGCGTACGGAGCGTTACGTCAATGGCACCGTCACGCGTTCCGTGTATAGCGTACTACGGCGCGTACGGAGCGTACGTACAGTTTGTAACACGTCTCTCCGTTGGTTTGTTTTTATCCTAGAAACTACGTGCTACCTTCGTCTGACTTTCTAATTAACTGTAGAAAAATATTTATTTTCTTTTAGAATTTTATTTATGTTTTAAAAAATTTAACAACTCGAAAAACACACAGGTACACATAAAAAATTAGAAATTATTTTTTTCCATAAAAAAAAAACATTATAATAAAAAAATTAAAAGAACTAAAATATTTAAAAAATTAAGTTAAAAAAAAATATAAAAAACAGAAATTATTGCATCTAGAAAAAAAGCGAAAATAATAAAAAAATTAAAATATTAAAATCTTAAAAAAATTACAAAAATAGAAATTATTTCTATCTAGGAAAAGAAATTGAAGTACTAAAAAAATTAAAAGAATGTTTAAAATTCTAAAAAAAATTGTTGTATCTAGAAAAAAATTTGATAATAAAGGAATGAAAAACCAATTACTTGATCTAAAAATAAAAGAAACTTGAATAATAAAATAATTTTTAAACTTGAAACAATTGAAAATTTTTTGAAACAGTAAAGGATATGGTCTTTGACTAACGATTTAAATAACTGTGCTTTCTTTGTTATTTACTGGTTCATAAAAACGAACCAATAAAAAAAAAGAAAAATATCACACTTGGTACGTGTGACAAACGGATGTCACGCTTCGTACGCATCACGAACGGCTGTTACGCTCGGTACGCGTGACGTACGCGTTATGTCACGCGTACTAAGCACGACATAACGTGACATCACGCGTACCAATAGCGTTCGAGTAGACATGGGACATGGACATGGGAGGTTATCGACATCCAGAAATTCGAATCTCAAGTCAGTTATTCTGTCTGAGCTTTCATTGGTCAGAAAATGGACCAATCAGAAGTGAGCTTTTTTATACAAAGGCTTTTCGACCTTGTGATAAAACTTTGCAATCGGTTATCGATATCCAGGAATTCGAATCTGAAGTCAGTTTTTCAATTTGAGCTTTCATTGGTTAGAAAATGGACCAATCGGAAATGAACTTTTTTATATTAAGGCTTTTCGACCTTTTGATGAAACTTTGCAATATATTATCGATATCCAGGGATCCGAATCTGAAGTCAGTTATTCTGTCTGAGCTTTCATCAGTCAGAAAATGGACCAATCAGAAACCAGCATTTTTCCCTCGACTGAAGAGACGGTGATATGAAATAAATAAAGCTTGACAGACTCATACCGAACGCCGAAAATATTTAATTGGCTGAACTGCCTGCCTGAAGAAACTTCATATATATTTGATATTATGGAGATTGTCGAACCTAGAATCACGCAAACACGTCTGAATGCGTTACTATCCCAATGATTGCGAGGTTACAAACTCATTTTGTTGCATATGATCCTCCCTCCAGTGGAGGGAAAAAAGCTCGTTTCCGATTGGTCCATTTTCTGACTAATGAAAGCTTAGACAGAAAAAATGATTTTGGATTCGGATTCCAGGATAACGATAACCTATTGCGAGGTTTTACCAAAAGGTCGAAAAACGTTAATATCAAAAAGCTCACTTCTGATTGGTCTATTTTATAATCAATGAAAGCTCAAATCGAAAAACCGACTTCCGATTCGAATTCCTGGATATCGATAACCTATTGCAAAATTTTATCACAAGGTCGAAAAGCCTTAATATAAAAAAGCGTATTTCCGATTGATCCATTTGAAAACCAATCAGAGCTCAGATCGAAAAAAGAACTTCAGATTCGAATTCCTGGATATCGATAACCTATTGCAAAGTTTTATCAAAAAGTCGAAAAGCCTTAAAATAAAAAAGCTCACTTCTGATTGGTCCATTTTCTGATCAATGAAAACTCAGATCGAAAAACTAACTTCAGATTCGGATTCTTCGACCCCGATTTACTTTTGTCAACCTTTATAAAAAATCGTTATTTTCTCAAGCCCCCCCCCCCCCTCAGAAAATCCAATTTTTCAGAGATAAGTCGAAATTGAAGTTTTATCATAGGAAGATGCAATGAAGTCTCCTCTTTCAGAATATCTATGGTTTATTGCAAAATGACTTGATTTTGACGAACTTATCGTCTAAAACTTGGCTTCTACTATCACATATTTCGAGAAATTTTCATGGTGTTTTTTCAAGGTTTTTTGACTTTTTAGGCTCCTTTCTCTTTGCATCAGCATTTCGTAAAGTCGTTTTTTATACTAATCAGTATGAGACTATTAAAACATAATATTAAGATCACA